TTTTAAAATAATAACTTTATTCATAACATTTCACAAAGACATATGGATAGTGGTGGCATTGATAAATTTCTATGAAGTACACAGTTTCTGAAATAATAATGTTTTACCATACAGATATAACCAGGGAAAATTAAGTATCTTTTCTTGGACATATCAGAGTTAAAGGGAAGATGGCGGGTGGTAAAGGAGGAAAAGGGGGGGGGGGGGGTGATGGGAAGGAGAGGTCTTGAAGGAGATAGTTTGAGAAGATCTTAAGTCTCCCAAAGAGCCCCAAAATCTCCTAAGGAAAGTCAGACGATCTAAGGAACGGACACAGCACCATGGTGACGCACAGTCAGCAGGAGTTGGAGAAGGGAGGTTTCCGTCGCCTGAGAGATTCTCATGGAGGAACTGACTCAAACAGAGAGAACAAAGAGGCCTCACAAGGAGCCAGGAAAAAAAATTCCAGCCTGGGAGCCAATCCTCGCTGGAAACGAGGAGCCAGGAAGGATTCTAGCCCAGAATCTAGGGGAGACCTTTCAAAAGAAGCCTGGGACACTGACCCAGCCTCAGAGAGCCTACCCAGAACTGTAAGAATCCAACTCTGTCTCCACTGTGCTTCGGACATTTGTCGGGAGAATTGGAGTTGTACTCGCCACCACAAGTAGCCAAATGAGCAGCAGACGGGAGATTTGACAAGGGCCTCTGTGTGTTGAAAGATCTGGCTGTTCCAACCAAGGGTTCTATGTTTCCAATCCAGATCCGAGTCACGGTGCTGGATAATTGTCAACGATAAACAAAGCCAGACGACACTAGTTAAAGCGCTAAGCACAGATTTGAATCAGTGATAACTATTGCAATAGGGAAAAGAGTCCACTGGGAACTAAACTAAACTACAATTCGTGACTGGCACTTTAAAGGGAGGAGGAGGAAATGGGGTGGTGGTGCACAGGAGGTCAGTAGGATCTGGGAAGTGAGAAATTCCAAGGCAGGAAGTGGGGGGGGGGGGGGCAGGTGGAATTGGTCAATGTGAAACCCATCTGGGCTTGCTAACTGGCACTTACTGAAGGGAAGCATGGACCCTCGCTTTGCGTATTGGCTGCAATAGTGAATTCTTTTGCGGCCTTGAAATTACTCGAGAGGGTCTAGGATTATCCTAGGGATGTGGCCTTGACTTCCTAGAAGCTATGTTATCATATGTTAGTACAGGTCAAGGTTGAGGCCTAGTCGAGAAGAGAGTTCAGAGGGTCTGGCTAGACTTCGGTCAAGGACATAATACTTGTCGATACCCATGTTCATAGGATTTTTCATAAAAGCTAACAAGTGTCCATCAACAATTGAATAGATAAACAAAATATGACACATCCATACAATGGAATATTATCCTTAAAAAGGCAGGAAGTTCTGACACATGCTACAAGTTGGTGAACTTGCTCAGCTCTCCAGACTTTAATACAGCTCTTTAACCAATAGACTTAGTTTTATTCTTGCTTGAAATGAAGTCTCACATTAATGTCTCTGTTTATTTCAGATGATTTTGAAAAAGCCAAGGAAATTTTAACAAAGATGAGATACTTTTCAAATATAGAAGAAAAGATCAAGTTAAAGATGGTTCCCCTCTAATTGTTGCTGATTTTTTTTTAAATAAAGTTCTTATTTATTTCTTTTCTGGCTTCTGCTGGATTTACTTTAACTACTTATATCATCTTAGCTAAACATGTGGCTCAGCGTTAATGGATGGCAAAGTCTGTCATGCCAGCAGAAACACCTAGCCAGAGTTTGAGTGGTCATTTTCATGTGATGCTGACACACCATGCCCCTAACTAGACCAATAGATGCAAGAGGAGGTGGATATGGAGCTGACTTGAGGCCCCAGAGGAGGGTTTGGCAAACTTTTTCTGCAAGAGGAGAGGAAGTACATATTTTAGGCTTTCCATACTGCCTCTGTTGGAGCTACTCAACTTGCATTGTATAATAATATTTAAAAAAAAAAAAAATATATATATATATATATATATATATATATTTTACAGAGAGAAAGGGAGAGTGATAGAGAGTTAGAAACATCGATGAGAGAGAAACATGGATCAGCTGCCTCCTGCACACCTACTGGGGATATGCCCGCAACCAAGGTACATGCCCTTGACCGGAATCGAACCTGGGACCCTTCAGTCCTCAGGCCGACGCTCTATCCACTGAGCCAAACCGGTTTTGGCTGTAGCACTTTTTTTACATAACAGGCATTGCACTAGGTTTGCCCATGGGCTTGCCAACCTTTGCCCTAGAGTAGGGGTGTCGAACTCAATCAGAGAAGGGGTCAAAATCTAAAATCCAGCCTAAATCGCGGGCCGAATGGTTTACTGAACAGTCATAAACTGTCATTGTGATGGAAACGCAGCGGAGTGCAGTGGTGACAGCGCGGTGCGGGCCACATTGCAAGGCCTGGCGGGACGGATTTGGCCCGAGGGCCTTGTGTTTGACACATGTGCCCTAGAGCCACGTCTTCCTAATGGCTAGACCCTAGGTGACGGTCCTCTAGTCAGCATGGCCTTCAGGGCATTGTTTGGTAACATGCAAAGCTGCCTCAGGGTCTCCTGCCTACCTTTCAAAACGGAGTTAATATCATCAAGAATCAGTCTGGTATTAAACACTACCCGCACTTTCAGCGCCACCTTGAGGTCAAGCCCTTTTCATTTCTCTGGACAGTTGACAATCTCTTGTCATGATTTCCGTGTTCTTCTAACCCCGCCTGAAGCAACTCCACTTCCCCTTTTGGATCTTTGGACATGCGGTTTTAGTACTTGATTCAGTTCCAAAGCAACAACAAAAGTATTTTTTAAGTCTCTGGATCAAATAAGATTAAAGTAGAACATTCTGATTTTAAAATGCCAGGAAACAATATTCAAACCCTTGGAGAGGATTTCGTGTTTATAACTAAAAATTCAGGGTTCTGAACCGTGGTTTCCATACCACCAGAGCTTAACACTGCGGCTCCTTCACATCTTCCCTCGACCTTGTCTAAGAATTCGCATCTTCTGAATCCTGATCCAGTTACACCCAGGAACATGTGAGGGTTTATGGATCTTCTGAAGGAAAGGGAGCACAACAGCTGTCTGCTTACTGGTACTTGGGGGTATCAGTACAATCTCTAACCCCTCCCAGTTTACAAGGAGCACGAGTTACTGGTCTCCTCTAAGTAAATAATTACCAGGCAAGCAAATGTCCTGGTTAAACGGGGTTCTTCTGTAAAGGAGATGAAAGGAGTGTTTGATATGCTTTCATCCACAATCTTTATTCCTTGTTCAGAACAAAGATCAGGACCAAAACTATGACCGAGAGAAGAAATCAGATAAAGACTGCCTCAAATGACATCTCTGGAGGGACTTCAAAGAAACTCCCCTTACCTATTAGCATCCACTGGAAAGGTCACTGGGCTTTCCAGCAAATCATTTCTGGCGTGGGGATTAAATTTAAAAAAAGACTTTATTTCTGAGTCATAGCTTCTGAGTCAGTGGGACTACTCCCCTTTGCCCCCTTCCAAAATCTTTCCTTTATTCTAAATTCATCCGTTTAGCTGGACTTCCAAAGCCAGGAACACACTCATGTGGTCCCTGACAAAGCCCCATGGGTGGTAGGCTTCCAGACATCGGAGCGGTTGGCAACCCTGTTTGGTTCTGGCTCAGTGAAGCGAATGAAAGCACCCACCTCCCACCAACACATCATTCTTTTTTTTCTTTTTTTAATATATTTTATTGCCGAAACCAGTTTGGCTCAGTGGATAGAGTGTTGGCCTGCGGACTGAAGGGTGCTGGGTTCGATTCTGGTCAAGGGCATGTGCCTTGGTTGCTGGCACTCTCTATCCCTCGCTTTTCCTCTCTGTAAAAAATCAATAAAATATATTTTAAAATATGTATATATTTCATTGATTTTTTTTTTTTTTTTTACAGAAAGGGAGAGGGATAGAAAATCAGAAACATCAATGAGAGAGAAACATTGATCAGCTGCCTCCTGCACACCCCATATTGGGAATGTGCCCGCAACCAAGGCACATTGGCACAAACCAGACTGGGCGGTGGTGCCGTTCCCTGAGATGGGAAAAGTAGGGCACAGTCAGTGGTTGGGGTTGACCAACTCTGCTAATCCCTTTGGCAAGCCTGTCTCTGGGTGCCCCAGGCAGAAGCTGGAAGACTTCACAAGCGCTCTGAGGCCTTTACTGACCCTCTCTGCTGTTCCCTCTAAGCCTTAGAGTCTAAGGCATCACTGATTTCATTTATATTAAAACACTAGAGGCCTGGTTGCACGAATTCATTCGTGGATGGGGTCCAGCAAGGGTCCCTGCCAAGGCTGGCATAGGGGGAGGGGCCGAAGGAGGTTGGCCAGCCAGCCCCACCCCCTGTTGGAACTCACTCCCGATTGCATTCCTGGTCTAGGGGGACATTTGCATATTAGCCTTTTATTAGATAGGATAGAAGGAATTAATGGCTGATATTTAATAAATCTGTACCATGTGCTGAGAAGGGTTCCAAAGGCTCTAAATGTTTTTTTTAATATATTTTATTGATTTTTTTTACAGAAAGGAAGAGAGAAACATCAATGAGAGAGAGTCATCCATCAGCTGCCTCTTGCACACCCCCCACTGGGGATGCGCCCGCAACCAAGGTACATGCCCTTGACTGGAATTGAACCTGGGACCCTTCAGTCCACAGGCCGAGGCTCTATCCACTGAGTCAAATTCACTTACTTCTCCCATCAACCCTAGGAAGACAGGTAGCATTATCATCTGGTTTTACTCATGAGAACACTGAGATACGGAATGCCTACCTTGTGAAGTGAGGATTCGAACCTAGCTCCTACCAGAGCCTGGCAGAGCCATCCATCCTCCTGCCTCAGCCTGCTCCACCGAGGCAGCCATCGTGTTTGTAGTCCCCAGGAACTGCAACTCCCAGCATCCCCCGCGGCAGCCGCTCCCCCCCCCACACACACACACACATAACAAATCCCAGCGTGCCCCTGGGCGGCCCCGGGGTGGAGGGTTCTAGAAGGCGTGACGTGAGGTCAAGAGCGGGCTCCGAGGCGGGCACCTCTCGACAATCGCTGTGGCTGCAGCCGCGGGGCCTAGAGACGCGGGCGGCCTGGGCCGCGGACGCCGCCGCCTCCTCGCCTCCCCGGCCATGGCCGCCCTCGGCCGGCCCTTCAGCGGCCTCCCCCTGAGCGGCGGCTCGGACTTCCTGCAGCCGCCGCCGCCGCCAGCCTTCTCCGGCCGGGCCTTCCCGCCGGGGCCGGACGGCGCGGAGCTGGCCCCGCGGCCGGGACCCCGCGTCCCTCCGAACAGCGCGGCGCGCGGACGGTGAGAGCGCGGGGCCGGGGGCGCGGGGGGCCGGGGGGCCGGGCGCTCCGTCCCCCGGAGGCGTCTGCGCTCCGGGTCACCGATGGGGAAACTCAGTTCCGGGGACCGTGATTAGTAAGTCCTCGGCCCGCCTGCACCTGGGGGAAGGGAGATGACTTTCCCCGACGCGACCGGGCCGGGTCGGGTCCGGGTTCGAATCCGGGCCATCTGGAGCCTGGTGTCCCCTCGGCGGGGCCGCCGATGCGGACAACTTTCCGTGCTGCTGCTGCTGCTGCTGCTGCCGCCAAAGCTGGGCAGACATGGCTCCTCCAGGCGCGATCTTGGAAATAAAAGTGCTCATCGCGGCGCCTGCCCCGCAAACCTGGTCCCTTCCCGGGTCTGCCCCGGTGCCTCTCCCATGAATTACAGGGTCCGAGTGGGAGTTTACGTTTCTGTCGCACGGGAGGTCAGGACTTGTCCTCATTTACCTGGTTGATGACCTTGTGACCTGCAGGTCCTTCCCCCGGGGCCCGGGGACGGGGGCTGACAGCTGGGTTCGGAGCGGGGTAGGAGGCTTTATTGGAGCGAGAAAGAGTGGATGCGGGAAGCTCAAGCTCGATGGATGCATTTCTCTTTTCCCCCCGGAAACTGATGTCTTGTTTGTTTGTTTGTTTATTTCGACAGTGTTTCCGTTCCCTGCAAAAAGAAACACAAGCTAGAGGAGGAGGATGATGAGTAAGTTTCAGGTGCCATGGATCTGCTTGGCATTGAACGTACCCCTATTTTATGCCCTTCATTGCTTTTTTCCAGTGCAGAGACGAAAGGAGGCACAGGAACTAGAAAATATAACAGAGGTAGTGGTGGTTGTCTTTTAGAGAAAGTAGCTGTGTGGCTGGCAGAGTCTGGAAACCTTTCCCTCTCTCATGGGCTGTCAAGTTTGAATGTTGAACCATGTGCATATTACACACACACACACAATGAGAGAACTCCAAATGTGCAAAAAGGTACATATTTTAAAAGTCTTACCTTCCAAGCTCACTGTTTCCTATATCTCCTCTGGAAGATAATTATTTAAAAAAAATTCATTTGTAAGAAGATACGTTGTTTACACTATGCAAAACAATAATCTTTTCATTTTACTGTCTTGTAACTTGTTGCCTATAGGCACATAGAATTTTCCTAATTCCTTTTGTAAGGCTAGGTATAATCAGTATCCTGTTGATGGATTTCCAAGTTATGTCTAATTTTTTGCTATTACTAACTTGGGCATTCTTTTTTTTATTTTTTTTATTTTGCATGTGAAGGAAGATTGGATTTTAAGATGACTTTCTTAAAATTAAAACCTTATTATTGAAATTATTACATATGTCCCCTCCCCTCACCCCTCCCGCCCCAGGCCTTCACCGTCCTATTGTCCTCAGTTTGTTTTGTTCATTGGATTCCACATATGAGGGAGATCGTGTGATACTTGTCTTTCTCTTACTGGATTATTTGGCTTTAGCACATGGCCATTCTTTTTAAATTCTTCGTATATATTTGCAAGTAGGTGAATGGATTTCCTAGATAGGAAATTGCTGGGTCTTAAATTTTTTTTTTTTTTAAGAATTTTAAAATACTTTAAAAAATATTTGTTTAATTGCAGAGTGAAAGGAAGAGGGAGAAAAATAGAAATATCAATGATGAGAGAGAATCATTGGTCAGCTGCCTTCTGCACACCCCAGACTAGAGATCAAGCCCACGACCTGGGCATGTGTCTCAACTGGGAATTGACCAGGAATCGAACCGTGACCTCCTGGTTCATAAATCCACGCTCAGCCACTGAGCCATGCCAGAACCAGAATTGTCCATTTATATTCTTTATAGCAGTAGAAATGTCTGTTTTTCTATCTTCTCACCACATCTGTATTTTTAAATTTTATGATCTAATAGGCAAAAATTGTATTCATGGGTAGGCAGTCAGTGGGGTGGACGCGTTAAAAGGGGATATCCAGATGACCAGCCAAACGAGAAGAGGTTCCACCTCACCAGTCTGTAGGGGAGTGCATATTAAAGCCACATGATACAGGAGTGGTCATGGAGCCTCAGGAACTCCCAAACACATGGATGAGAATGCCACTTGGTATAGCAGGTTGGCGTTATCTAATAAGTTGAAGGCATATGTACCTTTCAACCCCCCAGTTCCCCTTCCGAGTGTGTACATGTGCACAGCAGGAAACATACACGAGATGTTCTGGTCTTGAGATTGCACTTGCTGATGCCCAGACCATCAAGTACTTTTGGCCTAAATACTGAAATAGAACAGGGCTACTTGCCATTCAGCTTTCAACTAAACTGGTAATATCATAGTGCTTGCAAACACTACTTCACGATAAGAGCCTGAGCAGTTGAACTTTCCTAAGGAGGCTGGCAGTTTTCGTGAAAATGGCACAGAAGTAGGATTCAGGGGCCGTAGGGTGGGTCTGTCTGGTGCCCAACATGTAATTCTGTCGTTTATGACATTTGGAGGGAGTGCTTAAGTTTTCCTGGATCCTAGTTTCCAAATGTGGGAAACAAAGAATTTGGATTTGATGAACTCTAAGGTCTCTATGAAATATAAAATGTTCAAGGAAGTAAAGATAGTTTATATTTGAAAGTAGGGGAATGGTGTACTCGTTAATCAAGAACTCAGAGCCAACCGACAGTCTGGCATTTTGGAAAGGACCAAGAAATCAGCATCATCAGCACCTGTAGTTCTTGGCACAGACCTGGTGAGGCATATGTTTTGGGCATAAGGGAATATGGGATGCCCACATACCATCTTTTCCTGTGACCAGTTTGACAGAGCAGCAGCAATGTGACAAAATATGGCTGGTACTGTGACTTTTTAGTTCCTTACTCCCACTTGAACTATCCACAGCCAAATAAATAGGAATGATTTTAAGTTTCCACATTGAACACCTATAATTTATTATACAAAGCAAAATCTTGTAGGTACAGCTTAGTTTGGCAGAGAGAGCAGTAGAAGAAAATATTTCAAGGAGGCTGTGAGAATGACAGGGAAAAAAAAAGTATGATTTTCAATCTTGTAAACACACAGTCAAAAGTTATTAGAGTCGAGACCGGTTTGGCTCAATGGATAGAGCGTCGGCTTGGGGACTGAAGGGTCCCGGGTTTGATTCCAGTCAAGGGCATTTACCTTGGTTGCGGGCACATCCCCAGTAGGGGATGTGCAGGAGGCAACTGATCGATAACTCTCTCTCATCTATGTTTCTAACTCTTATCTCCCTCCCTTCCTCTCTGTACAAAATCAATAAAATATATATATATTTTTTTAAAGTTATTAGAGTTTTTTCATATAAGAATTTGATTAGAGCTAGGGGTGATCTACATTTCATTGCTATTCGGGATTTTCATTGAAAAACATTTTTCTTCCAGTTGCCCAGTAAGAAAGAAAAGGCTAACTGAAGCAGGGCTCTGTGCTGGTCCTAATGACTGGATTCTTTGTGCACATCAGGACATAGAGGGTCATGGAGTAAATCCATGCACTAGTGGCCCTTCTGCACCTGGCATGTTAGATGTCATTTGTGAAGACATGGATCAGACAACTGGAGAACCACAGTGTGAAGTTGCCAGAAGGAGGCTGCAGGAAATTGAGGACAGGTAAATGGGCGGCGCACATAACGGGCTTGTTGTTGTAGTTCCTCTGTAATGTCTCTACACTTTGAAGCTAGTTTAATTCATCATTTGATGATACCTTGATCTGTAACAAGAATTACCCAGCTATCATTAAATGTACATATTAAATGTTACAGTAAGCTCTTCTCATAGAACTGTACAGAATTGTTTCACTTACTATCTCTAAATATTCATTTTTTGGTTTATGGGAGTTTCAGGGATATATATATATATATACACACACACATACATACACACACACACACACACACACACATACGTTTTTTGTTTTTTTAATATATTTTATTGATTTTTTACAGAGAGGAAGGGAGAGAGATAGAGAGCTAGAAACATCGATGAGAGAGAAACATCAACCAGCTGCCTCTTGCATACCCCCTACCGGGGATGTGCCCGCAACCAATGTATATGCCCTTGACTGAAATCGAACCTGGGACCTTTCAGTTCCCAGACCGACGCTCTACCACTGAGCCAAACCAGTTTCGGCTATATATGTTTTTATTGATTTCAGAGAGGAAGGGAGAGAGAGAGAGAAACATCAGTGATGACAGAGAATCATTGATTGGCTCCCTCATTCACATCCCTATTGAGGATCAAGCCTCCAACCCAGGCATGTGCCCTTGACTGTAATCAAACCTGGGACCCTTCAGTCCGCAGGCTGAGCCAAACCAGCTGAAGCCAGGAACACATTCTTCAACTTTGCATCTAATATAAAACAAATTAAATGTTGAGTATTCTGTGTATAATTTTTTTCCACTCATGTACAGCCTCATGTTTTACTTGACCTTTTGCTATAGCACCTGTTACTTTTATCCTTTTTTTTTTCCAGTTACTAGAATATATAATAGTTTAACTAAATAATTTTTCCTCTGCTTCTGCTGCCTTTATTTAGAATAATTGACGAAGATGAAGAAGTTGAAGCTGACAGAAATATTAACCATCTCCCCAGTCTTGTCCTTTCTGATGCTATGAAAACAGGTTTGAAGAGGGAATTTGATGAAGTCTTTACAAAGAAAATGATTGAGTCCATGTAAGTTTTGGTTCCTGGTTTCCATTTATTATAAATACGATCTTAAAAACCCAATGTCTCTAGACATTGCCTATCCTGTCCTAACCATCTCTTCACCTCCTGTCACCAGCCAAGGGAAAGAACGGTAGGTTTTGTGTTGAGTCCAGGTTGCAGACCTTTTTAGTTCAATGGAGTGAGCAAAATGCTCTACAAGAAAGAGCTTGAAGAATGCAGGAGTGGCTGCTTTGCCTATTTAACCCTTGGATTCTTTTAATACAGTCCTGAAACGCACTGTATCCTATTTGGGAATGAGAGGGTTGGCGAGAAAGAGCCAGTTCTCTTAAATGCTTACGGTGGGACAGAAGATCCACATTTCAAAACCTCGTGTTTCCCTGGCTTCGTAATTATCCAGGAATACTATCGAGACCTAGGAAACAAACAAACAAACAAAATGTCTCCCAGCAGCCCGAAAAGAGAGTTATCACAAAGGTTACAAATCAAAACTCATGTTTGTCTTATAGTGTGCATAGCTTCTCAGGCCTTTAGCTGTAAGCACCATTATGCCCCTAATTTAGACGTAGTTTCATTTTTCTGGTTTCCTAGATCATGACAGTAGACACACAGAAGCAGCTAGTGAGAGAACAAACACTTGCAGTGAGTAATGAGAGTATAGTGTGAGGACGAGAGGAAACTGGAAAGCAAACATAAGACCCTAAAAAGCAAAACGTCCTGGAGCTCTTTAGCATAAGAGCTACTGGTAGCTGGGTAATTCTTGTAATCCTTGAGCCTAGGTGATCCCCAGTCCTCGGTATCTCGGTAGGCAGGTTCTGTGTGCCATTTATGTTTGCCTAGATGAGACTTGATAATCAAGGACGTGGCATATACCTGACCCATTCTCCCCGGGCGCCAGTCCCAGTGATACTGGGTAGATGAAGCATTACTCCTTTGGCCAGAGTGGGTTCAGCGCTGTTTGATGTTAGATCACAGCCTAACTGAGCTTATAATTAACTAGCCAGCCCTGAGATGGGTAAATAGTTCAGCCAAGAGAAAGCAGGTCACTGGCTCTCCAGCCTAAAACATAGCACTTTATGCTCTTGGTAGTTTTCCAAAAGCTACCCTTTGGAGATATTCTTTATTGTTTGTGTTTTAGTTTGTTTTACTTGCCTTTGGACTCCAGAAACCATCAAAACCAGTAGTCACTGGAGGAGGTTAGGTGGGGGCAGACACAGGCATTGGGCACATAATCATTTTGGCTTACTGCAAAAATTACACTTTTTAAAATACATATTTTTATTGATTTCAGAGAGGGAGGGAGAGAAATATAAATAATGGGAGAGAGTCACTGGATTGACTGCCTCGTGCACGCCTCCAACTGGGGATCAAGCCTGCAACTTGGGCATATGCCCTGAGCAGGCATCGAACCATGACCTCCTGGTTCATAGGTTAATACTCAACCGCCGAGCCACACCTGCCGAGCAACATTATACTTCATAGCCGTACTAAGCAAAGGGCGTACTGGAATACTTTTAATGTGTGTGTCCAGTGCTTCCTTTCATTTATAATAGGTTAGTACAAAATAGTAGTCCACATCAATGTGTCTCTCTCACATCAGTGTTTCTCCCCCCTCTCTCCTTTTCACCCTGTCTAAAAAATTATATTAAATCAGGGGTCTCTTATTTTTCACATTGGATTTTTATATTCTAATCACAGCATCAGTACAGCCAGTTGGTTTGATTAAAAATGCATGCAGAACTGTAAAATTTGATATATTTGAATATCCTTTCTAAAGATTATTTTTGCATTATTATAGTAAATCTCTTTTGATGCTTTCATTGTGTAATTCTACATATTAGATAGCAGACTAGCTTCTCAACATATATCTTTCATTTTCACATCTTAAAATTTTTAATAAAAATCTGTATTTTATTTCTTAGGAGCCGTCCTTCCATGGAGCTGGTGCTCTGGAAACCTCTCCCCGAACTCCTTTCTGATAAGCCAAAGCCGTCGCCTACTGCTAAGAGCTACACAAGAGAGAGCCAAGCTAAGCGCGCCTCTACCGACACCCCCTTCCCCCGGAGAACTGAGCTGTTCTTGGAACCCCGGCCGACCGGGCTGCCTATTTACAACAGTTTGGAGGCCGCTGCTTGCACAGAAGAAGAGATGGAACTCTAGAAATATGTTTCTGTACTAAAGTTGTCAAATTTTAGAAGGCTCATGTGTTTATTCGTGAGCCTGCTTACATAGCATAGGGACCTGAAAGCTCTGAAACGGGTGTAAGAATATCTCCACCTGTGGTTCGGGGTGGGACGCTCAGTTTTGGGTAGCCATTTCTTAAAGTCAACTTTTGCCAAGGAAGCTTGCCTCCAGGGAAAAGCTATTTTCTAAAGGGATTATTTTTGTGAGGTTACAGTCTGCGCAGGCAAGTCGAGACACTCCATGTGTAAGGGTGACTTCAGTCATCTGTCACATTGTTCAGAAACTTGGAGAATACTGAGACTCTTGAATTGAAAAAAGATGCATTAAGAAAGAAGGTACCGTTACTACAACTGAACCCCGACAGTTGAATCCCAGCTTCCTGTGTAGATACGATCTCTGTTTACAGTGCTGACTGTGACTGGGGAGAAGGAGGGAAGAAAGCAGTAGCTTAAGCCTTTTGCTAAGAAATTTAATAGAGGCTCTGAAACGTGTACAGTAGTTGTCAGTTCAATGTAGCTAAATTGATTAACTAGCCCGTAGCATTGCGGCTCACCTCTCTGCCTCTGAAAATGCAATGAAAACACAAAGAAAAGGTGTTACTGTAGCTCCTTGGATTCCCTTGCATAATTGATAAACGGAACTATTCAGAAATGTTTACAGCTTAATTAACTTTGATAATTGAAAAGATCTTGAGGTAACCCATGTGCAGATTGGCTGTGGAAGAAGCATCTCGTGGGTAATCCCGAGGAAGTGCTGTGTCGGCTAAGCCCAGGATTGATAACGTCACAGTTTAAAAAAAGGTGGTACCTGTATGAACAGGTTGAGTTTTAATGTTCATTTAGAAAACTGACGATAATTATCTGAGAACATACGGGCAGGCCATGTTGAGATTTACTGAAATAGCCAGTTTGCCTGGTGCTTCAGCTATTACGCAGCAGCCTAGAGGTTGGTAGAGAAGAGCTTCCTGCGAGCAGGAAGTGTTCAGTTTTCAGACACAAACCAGCTCGAGGCGTCCTTTGGGGATAACCAAGGTCAAACCGTTTTATTTCTCAGGAAGAACTTTTCTGTGTGGCAAGGACTCAGTAGTGCGAAGTGAAATGACAATTCCTTGAATGCTACAGAATATTCACTATAACTTATTAAATGAGTGTAATAGTGTAATATCGGCCCTTTCCTCACATAACAGACCACCCTAGTTCTTTTTTGTTTTTCCTTTGTAGGAATCAGATACCTTGTATAGAAAGAGAGAAAAAGATTTATACCAAGTATAGAGGTAACTTTTTAGAAACTTGCTCCCAGGAGTTTTGAAACACATTCTGAACTCCTTCCCCTGTTACAGATGGTGTAGAAGTCACAGGTCTGCTTAATGGACTGTTTCTTCTCTTGCCTTTTGTTCCTGCTCTCTCTGTTTCTGTCTGGACAGTCAGGAAAAGATTTAATGTTTAATATTTAAACACAATATTTAATGTCTACACAATAAAATGACTCAAACTTCAAACCAGTATTTAAACCAGTTGGAAACCAGCTCATAGTTTCTTAATCTCAGACTTAGAGATGAATGTAAACTGTATTCTGTTGGAATCGGCAAGTGTCTGGTTCATGCCATTTGAAAAACTCCTGCATTTAAGTCATTGTTTAATGGGACCAACTTGTAACGTTTGTAGCCTTAAAGAAATCTCCATGTTAAAAAATGTGTTCTATTCCAACCCGAAAACATGAAGCAACTCCCGGGATTTGGAGTTAGTCCCAGTGTGAGGGCGGAAGGGGAGGTGAAGCTTTGCCAAGAAGCACCCAGCACACGATTTGTCTAATATAGGAATTGTGGGGCAGGGCTTTGATCACAGGTCTGTGTAATGAAAAGGAGGAAAGAACAGCCCCCAAATAAGCTCTGATACCATAAGCAAATATAGGAGAGAATTAAGATTCTGTTTATTAAACTCGAAGCAGAACTTGTTTCAGGAGTCAAGCTATCTGACAATTATTTCTGCAGGAAAATGGATGTTGAATGCTCCTTTTTAAAGTTCTTGCATACGTTTGTACTAAAATTGTCTTCATCCTTGCGGTGCTTATTCATCTGAGCCGTCTCCACAGCCTCCATGCTTCTGTTTTGTTTTTCTTTTTGTAGCATAAGACTTTTGCTTTTGCCTTAAGGTTTCTCTAGGGGAATAACTTCTTTTCGTTCTGTACAGCTTTTGCAGCGTGGATCAAACATTGGTTTTCTATGCTAATGTATGAAGAGGAAAAATTATCTAAAGCAGGTGAGCTTGAATGAACAAATGTGTATTTTCTCTGAGTTTGAATAGGGTGTGTGGATTTAAAAAAAAATTAATATGAAGAAAGTAAGTTCAGTTCTCACAAACAGTAAAAAAAAACAAAAAACCTTCATTCTTGAAAAGGTGCAAATGTAAAATTTAAGAAAAGAACTAGAACCATGAGAAGAATGTTTACCAGCAAGTTCATTAATTAATGGTTTTGGATTTGGAACTTTGTTTTGTTTTTTAATAGTGATAAGAATGGTGCAGTGCTAGGAAAGTTCTGGAAAATGCTGTCAGTTTTGCTTTAAAATGAGAATCTGGTGTTTCTGTATCTCATTGTTTTCAATAAAACTTCATAAGTGTTTTGGACTTTTTGAGATATTTGTATTCCTGTCCCTAAGTAAATATAACAATCACTGCTTTGCTTTCCTCTAAATTGTATTTGAAGTAGCAATCATATCACCGAGGGGCTTAAATACATTCTGAAGAGATGATTATGTTGGGTTAAAGGTAAGTTTCATAAATGAATTAGCTCTTTACAAAACAGGCATACTATGTCTTGCCATTCCTAAAACCCTTAGAATGCTTGCCACTCTTAGCAACTCACTACTGTTGTATGAACAGCATTGATTGGTAATGGTGATTGATTGCCAATATTCAGTGGTGACTTGAGTCTTCAAAAATGTTCAAATATAGAGTTGAAAAGGGTATACAAAGTTCACAGTTCTGTTGTTTTTATAGGTTTGGAACCTTTAAAAATGAGGAATAGGAAAATTCCAGAATGATCATTCCTTTCTTGTGTTGACAGGTCACTGGGTGGCAGTATTGCCTGCATGTTTTCAACCACTGTTTGATAAATGTGGATCCCTATTTATGGGCAGGATAAGTTTGGGTTAGTTACAGAAAACTCAGGATCTTGTTTTGTTTTTCACCCAAATTTGGAAATCACGGCTAAAAATGACTTAAAAGTTATCTCACGGGTTTAAAAACTAAAAAACCTTAGGTAGTGACAAGATAGTATTATAATCCAATTCACTAAGGGCAGTGTTCAGACTTCACCAGTGGTTTTACACTCTTTTTGCAGCAGTACCTAAAATGTCAGTTGGTTTTATGGATAAAATGTGGTTTACGCAGTGTAACATTTAATTTCTTGGGGAGCCCTGGTAATTGTGGCTCGATTGAGAGTTGTTTTGTGCATTGAAATGTCCCTGTTTCAATTCCTGGGCAGGGCACATGCCCAGGTTGTAGGTTTGATTCCCAGTGAGGGGAGTGTGCAGGAGGCAGCTAAGCAATCATTTTCTCTCTCCTTCCCCCCTCTCTAAAATCGATTAGAAGCGTAAACATTTAATTCCTTGAGGGGGAATTTAGTTTTGTGTATATCCGTTTGGTTCAAATATTCTACAAGTGGCATTGTAGACATGACAACTCCAGCAAGATAAGGATGTCGTCTTTCAACAACTGGTTAGTGGGTAAATAAGCCAGTCTTCCTGTCCCTTAATGAACATAGGGTCAAAGGGTAAAGATTTAATTCTTAGACTATTAGACTTTAACCTATGCCATAAAATTTTCCTGGAGAGCGCAGGATTACCTTCTGTCTACAGCTCTGTGCCTACTGTGTTTGCTCTACTAGTATTTCTAGAGAAGCTAGGAAGCGCACACAGATTGGTGTTACGAGGCCCGGGGAAATGGTGTGCAGGCATGTCACTTGATTCTTTTAATCTCTATTACAGACAGCCCTCTGCACTTAATAGAAATGGTGTTTTGGTTTTGTAGGAAAAGGTCTTGATTTTTATTTCCAACCATTCCATTTAGTGTTTCAATATGAAGGCGTGTTTTCTCAAGACTGAGGAGTGTTGTGAGTAGTTTTCACCCATCTGTGCAGGAAATGAAAACCCTGGTAACCTACACAGGTTATGTATGTCCTGTGTGTTATTCCTGTTAGTACAGCTGCCTCTTTCACATGATGTCATTGAATGTAAATTACTTGCACCTCAGTTTCCAGATGCTTCTGCTATTTTGATGGAAGCTTAAAATGCATCTGTAATTACAGCTGCCTACACAATCTCTAAATAGATTCTCAGCTCTTAAGTTTTCAGTTCTAGAAAATCAGGTACTCAAGTTTTTAGTCATGGGGACAGCTTGAGACTGTATTTATGACACAGAAACTCAGAGTCTAAGCAAGCTTGCATGCCTCACACCAGGATCGGGCTCTGGCTTGTGACCAGAGATCTTACGCTGTTGCCTTCAAGTGTGCTTGTGGACATGCCTCCAATCACACCACCGAAAGCATTCCCTTGCACTGAAACCATAGCCTGTTGTGCCTTGCTGCTTGGGACTGACTCCCATCTTCATCTGCTCCTCCAGTTTGACCTCCCCAGAGGTTGCCTTAACATTGGCATAGAATGCTGGCATAGTTGAAATGTCAGTGAGGGAAACCCTTTACTACCTCGAAAAAGGATTCCCAAGAGGTGCACCATGAAGGATGAGGCCATCGAGCCTCTAGAACTGGTTCATTGTTTTGTGAAACAAGTTCTAGAGTAGGGGTGTCGAACTCAATCAGAAGGGGCCAAAATCTAAAATCCAGCCTAAATCACGGGCCGAATGGTTTACTGAACAGTCATAAACTGTCATTGTGATGGAAACGCAGCGGAGTGCAGTGATGACAGCGCGGTGCGGGCCACATTGCAAGGCCTAGCAGGACGGATTTGGCCTGCGGGCCTTGTGTTTGACACATGTGTTCTAGAGTATGTATATCTAATTCTGTGATTAAAACCCTTCCAAATTGGATTAGGAGAGAATAGCTAACTTCTTAGTGCTTGGGATGGTGCCTACAATATCTTAAGTGCTTATAATACACCATCTCCGAATCCTTTAGCAACTGGCCCCTTTACAGATGAGGAGATAAGTGGTATGTCCAGGATTACCCAGCTAGCCAGTGGCAGAGTTGACCCCAGGGAGTCTGATTCTAGAAAGTGCTCTTAAACCTTTTAATAATGGCAAGAAAATTTTGATATTGAATGGGAGATTAAAATGGATTTTCATCTCTTCTCTCACAGGAGATGGTATAGCAAATCAGCGGTTAAGGGTTCTAGCTCTGCCACTTACTAGCTGTGATAATGGCCTGTTAGGCTGAAGAAATGACCTGAAATACAGTAACTGCTCAAGAGTAGATTATATCACTTATGGCCTTCAGGAATTTTAGCAAGCAGTAATTACAGGGAAAAATCCTTCAGGCATTTCAAAAGGGGCATGCTTACTGAAGTTGGATAAATCACTATGGCAGCAAACAATGAAACACCTGGGGAGAACATGATACGATCCAAGAAGGAATCAGAGAACAAAGACTGCATTGCACTTTTTTAATTGCGTGGGTAGTTTTAAATAAATGAAGAAAGCACCTTCCAAAAGTTACACTAGCAGGGAAAGATTCCGTCAAGCATTTACATAGTAAATTTCTGTAACTTTACAAAGATTCTTGATCTTTACTTGAACTGTACATTGAGGGAAAGGAGCCCCCTCCGCTAGGTTTCTCTCTGCTTGCAGAAGCAAACTACAGTACCTAAAAATCAGAGGCAGGCCTAGGATGCTGAGACGAGAAATGATAAAGGGGCCATTCATAAACTCCCTGTCTGATGTCCCTTTGTAAGTACTTTAGAGCAAACTACTGCCCTTAAGATACAACCTCAAAAGCTGTCATTCTGGATATAGTACTGGATCTGAGTACCTTGGACTGCTGAGTGTCTCAAAAGACAATACTCGGGGTGACCTGGGAGGTTTAACGGACAAATATTTTGCTGTGCATCTTCTACTTTGGCTTTTTGAATGAAGCACAGACAGGCTTCTCTGCTGTCTTCCAGGCAGTGTAAAAATCAGGGGAAAGGGCGATGTCGGGTCATTCTTTAGACACTGATCAGCTGGGGAAAGAGTTCATTGGCAAAAGTGTCCTCCCAGGAATGGTCTGCCCCGAGCAGAGAGGACATGTCGCTGA